TTTTTTAATGTAAATTTAAATCTTACTTTTTCGTGGGCTGGATTTCTAGGATTTCTATTTTTGTCATTTCTAGTTTTATTGGACTGTAGACATTGCAATTGTTTCTGCAGGTTCCCTGAATTTCTTGCAGTTTTTGCTTCATGAATTTCAAAACGAAGTTATTTGGTGCATGAGTATCCATTAGAATTTATTATGGATTATAACCTTTATCAAATGTCCTTTTTCCTGTTTTACAATCTTTATCTTAAATTCAGCCTGCTCAGATATTAATATCATGNTCTTTAAAATTAGCAGTTTTCCTTGCTTTTACCTCTTCACTAAAATAAAGAAAAAAATTAGCAGTTTTGTTGACTAAAAGGAGACATGTGTAAGTTAGCACTCAATCAGCTGATAATAATAATATTATCAGCTGAAACCAGGCACTGACCATGTCCCAGACAAAGCCTACACAGTGAATAATTTTGTTCTTAGAACCTCTGATGTAGATACTGTTAATTGTTATGCTCATTTTGTAAATGAGAAAATAGGTCAAATAACCTAAGACCACACACCTACTTCATCTAGGCTAGCTCTCACTTTTGTGGAAGTTTTCAGTCTAATCCTGTAAAACAGCTTTGGAGTTCACAAAAAGAATCTTATAACTGAAAGGATGCACACAGAATAGTGGTGAGAGGTTAGGCAAATGACNTAAGAGGCTACAAAACTTCCAACACTAAGTTTTAGGTTCTTGAAAGGCAGCCCCAGAGTACACCAACAGGGACACTTCCTTATACAATAAAGTAAGGTCTTTCTTAAAACATAGCCCAGGGCCAAGAGTTTTTAAAAGTAATCTCCAAGATGAATATTCAGGTCACTCTTCTCCTTAGACCTTAACCCACTGGTTCCCTAATGTAGCTACATGTCTAGTTAATAATAAAAGTACTCATTGAACGCCACCACATGATATACAAGCTATATCATTTCATTCTGAAAACAAACACAAGCATTATCCCCATTTACAGGTGAAGAAACAAAGGCTCATTAAGGAAAAGTTACTCCTCCAAAGTTAACAGATAAGGGGCTCTCTTCACTACTTACTTAGGTTTTATGGGATCAAATGGCACCTCTTCCAACAGATCATATATGTAATTATTATATATTTCAATATAAGAAACAAATACACCATAGACACTATCTTCATCAACCTCTTCAGCTTTGCAGAATTCTTGAACATTTATCATATCTGCAAACTC